TTTATAATGCCAAAATGTGTTAGTGTAGAGATGAGACATGATATTTATTGTTTCTTTTATTTATTTGCTATTTCAGTCAATCGTTCATCATATGTGTACTCGTACTTCATTGCAAAGTTTGGTTGTACTGAGTTATACTTAAAGGAAATAAATTGTCATCAATCATTACGGACATTTGTTTCATTATTGTGAGGAAGACGCATTGACGACGGAGTGACCCAGCTAATCGGCATATGTATCTATAGACATTTTCATGAGCTACCAGTAGAAGACACAGGGCTCTGGAATATGGGTTTATAGACGCTACAACTATATTTTAGGTTCCAGAAGACGATGATACCGGCCCTTATGCAACACTGTCCCCAGCAACAAGGGAAAAGGAACCCGTATATCAAATGCCAATGGGAACAGGGATTAAGGTGAAGTGGTTATCCTGTTTTCGCAACGGATATGGTGTTGCGTTTCGACAGCACATGTATTAGTTTTAAATAATAATAATAAACAATTTAAAAAGACTTCTTAGCTATATGTCGTCCACTCAAAGTCGTATTGTATGTTAGTATTATACATCTGTCACCGTAACGCCATAAGTTCCAGCGTGCCGTAATTTTGCGGTAATTTACGGGGTATTTTCATCCTACCATATAAAGAATTGCGAATTCCAAATATGGAATGATTACACGAGTAAGCGTCTTCTAATAATAAAAACAAACTTGGCTGCCACCTGGGTTTGACCGGACTCCGCACAAAAAAGTTCGCTGATTCTATTCTAAACTTGTTTGATTTCGCCATTCCTATGGTGAATCCTTGGAAGGAAAAGATGTATAATATTAAGGTTATTACGAGGATACCTCAAAGTAAACACCCAGACAGTACGCCGTCGCATCGACCGACGCGCATATTTGCGCTGTACTGTCTTCGTGTATACTTTGAGGTATCCTCATAATAACCTTATATTATTAAGTGTGTTATATCGCACAATATTGTTATATAACGGCATTACACACGTTATTTTTGTTATTACAGGCGATGAAGTCTGACAGTCAGTGCCCATCACTGAATCTGTCTGAAGTTACCATGGAAACAGAATCTGCATACGAGATGCCAACAAAATAATTGCACATATTTAATATTAATTATTATCACTCCTCATAATGCATCAGCGAAAGCTATGGCTGACAAGTTACGTACTCGCTTGGCAGTCAAAATTGATCAAGTGATGAACACGTTACCCCTGTCCCGATATAACTGGAATGATACAACCTCTTCCATTAAGTGTTATCTGGTTGTTAAACGTCATCACAGTACAATCAATATCTATATATATATAGTTTGGCAGTTAACTCCGACGAATGACCGCATGTTGAAAGGAATGAACATCCTACGAGGCAATGTTAGGTCTGCCGTTATTGGTTAACCAAAGCACAACGGTGTTTCCCTAACGAACTCGTTTATTATTAAAACATGGTGGGTACGAAGGATAAGTGCGAATGTACATGTACTGCCAGGTACGGGTTTCGGGCAATTATAAAAGGTGAATATTGTAAGTTCGATTTGAAACAAAAACATACTTCGACTGAAATGTGAATCTATCATAAACATTCATAATAACAATAAATGATTCTTCAGGAAATATTTTGTCAAATTACAACTGACTGTGCTGTTTGGAGATTGTTCTGGTTACGGTAAAAACCAAATCAGATACTTTTATATCACATCAAAGTACTGGCGATATGGCATGAATATATGACGTGGAATTGTTTTTGTTGTTGAATTCAATTGAGTTCAATTGCTCAGGGAATTCATAACATCAATGTATATTTTGTTGATTGTTAATATTCGCCCGGCGAACACACTGAGCAAAATCGATCATGATGGCACCGAGAGGTCATCCTAGACGATAACATTTTAAATTGTTTTTAAACATTACGTATTGTTCATGGCCATACACGAGGTCAATGTGACTACCAACAGACCCGCGTCTGAACTTGGAATACTTCACGCTGTTTTCGCTTTTATGAAGTATAAACACATCCTTACAACTTGCTACCCTCATCCTGCCAAACCCATCAAGAAAGAATTCTGTATGACCGACACGCTCGAATTCTGGGTCGAAACCTATTGCCCTAATTGTCTGGGTTTTCGCCATAAAAAAATTCGTAACCAAATCAACCAGCATGCATTGCGGGTACTCTTCAATATTTCTTTGAAACCCCTGGCCCCTAGCCATGCAATTTCCATCCTCGTCCCCGGGAACTATCTCAACTGTTTTAAAGAACATATTCTGGATATATTTGGTTCCATTTACATCCTCGAAGAACGCACCGATCATGTCCAAGTTTACTCGAGGGTCCTCTAATTTTTCGACAAAATTTTCTAACTTTGTGTCAGCAGTAAAAATGAAATCATCGTCCACCCACACAAAATATTTTGTTTTTACTTGACTCAGAACGAGGTTGCGACCAGCGAACCATCCTTCCTTATATGGCATGATGTATTGTAGTACATTTAACCCGTCAATTGTCTGTGGTTCTTCTGAATCGTCGGCAACTATTATCTGCATGTCAGGATAATATGTATTCACGCTGCGAACGAGGGTCTCTATGCAGTTGTAACGCTCAAATGTCTTTGTTACTATAGTTACCTTTCTACTGATATCGTCCATTTGTTGCAAGTTGTAAAGCCTGGGACGAGGCTTCTTGCGTACATGAATATGTATGACGACATTGAAATCGATCAGTTTTACTTCCACGGTATCCCGGATGTCAATGTCGTAAACAATGCTGCGGTACACTAACTTCTCCAGTAGCGAATTGAGATTGTCGCTCGGTGAGCTGAACGATAGTTTTAAGGTGGATGTTGCGTTTCCTTCTACAGTAATATTCACAAGAGACACGTTTGACTTATCAAAATATAATGTCCCAAGTCGTTTCGTAGACTGAATGTAAAGCTAATTTTATTCGCTCTCTCCTCTGTTAGAGCTTTTTTGTCGATTGAAAGACCCACAATCTTAACAGATTTCAGTGGTTCCACTATTATACCGCCACCAACGTACGACATGGGAGATATCATTCTGCACAGAACCATCGGTTCGGACTTTGCATCCATATCGTTTTTCCAGTTGTTCAATTCTTTGCTTCTCCGTTCCTTGAGTTTATCCGTGAATGGTCCGTGAATCGGACCTCGTGCGCGCATGTTTGAACAGGTGCAACTGCCGCCCTCCAGCGACATTTTCTGTTTTAAATTCATAACATCTTCTTCACTTCTGTAAGGAATTTCCATCCACGCCGTCGAGGGCAGTAGCTCCCTAACTCCTCGTCTGACTGATAAGTTTATCGATTTGTTGTAACGGTGATCCACAAGGAAGAACAAAGTGGTTACCAAGACAACCGGCAGCGTAATGTGCAAGCATTTCTTCATTATGTAACATTCCAGTAAAAATATGCTGTCTTGTTCAATTACAAGCGATTACAGTAGCTTTACCATGACATGGTCCATTCTTGAATCGCTAGACATGAATAAACAAAATAACAGCATTATTCCGAGTGACGTCACCATTATTC